TCAGGCTGGAGCGTGACTGAAGCTCCCAACCTCTCCTTTTTTTCTTTTTTTTTTTTATCCTGGGATTTATTTACCTCCTATGGCTGTCACTGGAACTGAGAGCTGGCTTTAGCTCTGAGGCTCGGCTCCAGCTCTGAGACCTCGGCTACTGAAAGCAGGTATCTGGGTTTGTTTGGCTTCTATAATTGAAACACTATTGCAGCTCCAGCTCTGAGGCCGGCTGGCTGAAAGCAGGTTTCTGGGTTTGTTTAGCTTCTATAATTGCAACATTGTTTCTTAGCGTGCAGATCAGAGGCCGGCAGTGGCAGGCGGGGAAACTTGGTTTCCTCCATCACTGGAGAAAGCAAGCCTCCTGTTCGCTTTAGCTGCCTGGCTGTTGGCCGCCATCTTGGTTGGCAGATAATTTGCATATTGCCCTGATTAGCCAATGGGAAGCGTGTCGGATGTATGGTTAATTACCATGTTTGTCTATTATTAGATAGGATATATATATATATATATATATATATATATATATATATATATCTCCTGTCTAATAGACAAACATGGTAATTGACCATGGGCTACGCCTCCCATGGGCTAATTAGCACGATATGCAAATTAACCACCAACAAAGATGGCAGCTAATTTGCATACTGCAGGCAGGGCGGGACAGTGCGATCCACCCGCCCTGCCACCAGCTGCCGCCTTCCCCGCCGCCTGCCAGGCCTGCAGTCCATGTGCGTGGCCCAGCGGATCGCATTGCGCCCGCCCCTCGCCCCGCCCTGCCCTGCCGCCTGCAGGGCTGATCGCGATCCGCCCGCTCCATCCCACTGCCCGCTGGGCCTGCCATGTGTGGTGGGCAGCAGGGCGGGGCGGCGCGGCAGAGGGCCTGCCATCTGCGACCCAGTGTGGGATCCGGTCCTGCCATCTGCCACCTGGGGAGCCGGCCTAAGCCAGCAGGTGGTTATCTCCCGAGGGGTCCCAGACTGTGAGAGGGCACAGGTCCGGCTGAGGGACACCCCCCACCCCACCCCCGCCAATGCACAAATTTTTGTGCACCGGGCCTCTAATATATGTGTGTGTGTGTGTGTGTGTGTGTGTGTGTGTGTGTATTCATTCATTCCTTGGTTAATCTCTCCCTGCCCACCCTTCCCTCTGAGATTCATCAGTCTGTTCCATGTTTCCATGCCTCTAGTTCTATTTTATTCATCAGTTTATTTTGTTCATTAGATTCCTTATTTGTTTATTTTGATTTTTAGATTCAATTATTGAGAGCTATGTATTTATTGCCATTTTATTGTTCATATTTTTACCTCTTCTTTATCCTTTTTTCTTTCTCCTCCCCCTCCTCCTCCTCCTCCCCTCCTCCTCCTCCTCCTCCTCCTTCTCCTCCTTCTCTTCCTCTCCCCCTTCATCCCCCCCCCCAACTTTGCCCTTTCCACATTTCATGTAATACTGGTTTGGTAGTGATGAACTCATTTAGCTTTTTTTGTCTGTAAAGCTCTTTATCTGACTTTCAGTTCTAAATGATAGCTTTGCTGGGCAGAATAATCTTGATTGTAAGTCCTTGCTTTTAATATTTCTTGCCACTCCCTTCTGGCCTGCAAAGTTTCTGTTGAGAAGTCAGATGACAGTCTTATGGGAGCTCCCTTGTAGGTAACTAACTGCTTTTCTCTTGCTGCTTTTAAGATTCTCTTTTTGTCTTTAAACCTTGACATTTTAATTATGATGCATCTTGGTCCATACCCTTCTTTGGGTTCCTCTTGTTTGTGACTCTCAGTGCTTTCTGGACTTGTAAGTCTATTTCTTTCACCAGGTAGGGGAAGTTTTCTGTCATTATTTCTTCAAATAGGTTTTCAATATCTTGCTCTCTCTCTTCTCCTTCTGCCCCCCCCCCCCCCCCATGAGAATGTTGGTACGTTTGAAGTTGTCTCAGAGGCGTCTTACACTATCTTCATATTTTTGGATTATTTTTTCTCTTTTTGCTCTTCTGATTGGGTGATTTTTGCTTCCTCATATTCCAATTGTTGATTTGATTCTTGGAATCCTCTACTCTGCTGTTGAATCCCTGTAAATTATTTTTTTTATTTCAGTTAGTGGATGCTTAATTTCTGACTGGTCCTTTTTCATGTCTTTGACATTCTCACTAAGGTCCTTGAAAGTCTCACTAAGCCCCTTGAAGCTCTCTTTGAGTCCTTTGAAGCTCTCATCAAGATCCTTGAGTAACCTTATAATCATGGTTTTGAACTCTGTATCCAGTAGTTTGCTTGCTTCCCTTTCATTCATTTGTAACACGTTTCTTTGTCTCCACATTTTGGCTGCTTCCCTGTGTTTATTTTTATGTATTAGGTAGAGTTGCTATATCTACTAGAATTGGTAGGGTGGCCTTGTATAGTAGATGTCTTGTAGGGCCTAGTGTTCAGCCTCCCCAGTCACCTGAGCTGGGCACTCTAGGTGCACCCCTGTGTGGGCTTAGTGTACAGTCTTGTAGTTGAACCTCTATTGCTGTTGGCCTGAAGGTCACTTGGCTGTGAGGACCAGTTGGGGCTACAGTGGAAGAGTGGCTGTGTAGGAGGCACCCCTGTGGAGCAGGACTTGCTTCACTGGGGCTTTGGTGCTCACTGAGTCTGCCTTTTGAGTGTGTCACTTGTGGATGTGTAGAGTTGTAGTCTGGTTTGGTCTGATGTTGTCTACCTGGTGCACTGGCTCTAGGGCCTCCCAGGAGGTGCTAAGTCAGCCACTGCCTGGGGCCACCCAGCAATAGATACAGAGAGGTCTGCAGAGGCTGCTACTTGTATTGGGCTTATAAGTGCCCATGTGAGGCCCAGCTGTGGAGCAAGGCAGGCTGGTGCTAGTGCTGAGTCTTGAGCCTCTTACTGATATGTTTGGGGTATGCTGACACCAGCTACTGCTTGTTTGAGAGATTTTAGCAAAGTCTGAAGCCTGAGCCATGATAGGCCATTCATATGGGAAAACCACTGCAAACAGCTTGGGTGGGGCTGCAAATTGGATGGGGCAGGGTCTCAGAATCACCAGGGCGGAGTGAACAGTGTGTTCCAGCTAGTGAAAACTCAGATATGGTTGCCAGTCAGCTCTGTGACACAGGAGGTCCCAGCACAGGAACAATAACCCTTGTGAGCTCCCTGATCTGGGAGAAAGCTGCCCCTGAGTTCCTGCTCCAATACCAGACAGTCTGGTTCCTCTCCGTATGTCCCTGGGTCCCCCCAAGCCACCTGGTGCTGGAGCTCAGAAGGTGTGATTCCATGTAAGTCCGTGCGCCTTGTCCTTTAAGAGGAACACCTGGGTCTCCAGCAGCCTCTGTGTCACTCAGCAACAATCCCTGCTGGTTTTTACAGCCCAGAGTTACGGGAACTTCTCTTCTCAGCTCTGGAACACTGGGCTGGGACCCCTTGCTCCACATGGGAGGCCTTTGCAGCTGAGATCTCCCTCCTGATTTAAAAAACACCACAGGTGGGTGCTGGACCAGCCTGTTCCACGTCTCCGCCCCTCCTACCAGCCTCAATGTGCTTTCTTCTTTACTTCTCTAGTTGTAGGGCTTCCATCCAACCCAATTTCAGGCAGTTCTGAATGATGTGGTTCTGTCTTTTAGTTGTAATTTTGATGTGGTTGTGGGAGGTGGCGGGTACCTGCGCCACCATCTTGGTTCTCCGGGAATTTTGATTGCTCCTTTTTCAGTAGAAACTTGCTCTCATTTATGTGTGTCAGCCTCTTGGACCTTCAAGCACATGAGCTAGATGTTCTCGAAGTTGTCTTTGTTTTCTCCTGGTATTCCTTTGCTCTTGGGTGCTCATGCCAGCTGGGCCCACTTGGCATGGCGAGGCTGATGGGGGTTTGTGGGATGGGGCTGGTTTGTGGGGAAGGGTGCCAAATGCTCAGAGCACTACTTGGGATAGAATCCCGTAACCCAGTGACCTCTATGTGACCCCAGCCCCTCCCCGCCTCCTCTCTGGATTTGTTGGAATCTTTATACCTTTGGGCTCTTTTGGAAATATCCCCGGAGTCCAGGCCTGTGTTTCCTTTCAGCTTTGATTTCTCCAAATACACCTCTTCTGCTTCCTGCAACTCCTCAAAGCTCCCCGTTCACTTACAGCTGTGTTCCTGTTTCCTGGGGCTCCTTCTGTGGGAGGGTCGGGTGTTTGCTGCCAGGCTCTGTGGGCTCTCTGGACTGCGACAGAGGTGACATTGGGGGCCATGTGCTCAGGATGTGGGAGAAGCGTGCTGGGGCCTGCGGAGGTGAGGTTGATCTGTGAGGCGAAGTTAGACGCAGGAGGCTGCTGGGACGGACGAGGCAGGGCCTGGGTGTGGCAGGCGCGGGGTCAGGTGTGGCCTTTGGGTGGGGTGCTGGAGTGTGTCCCATGTGCTGAGGGTGTGGGTGCAGCGTGTGTGCCTGTGCCAGCGCCGACGTGGGCGTGGCTGGGACCCTGGCCTTCCGCCTCTGCCGTTGGCTCTGGTCTCTCCTGGTTTCTGGTTGTGATGCTGTCTGTGGGCATGAACCGGCCTCAGAGTCCCATGTCAGTGCTTCCCTTCAGCAGCGCTGGATCCCAGGTGCACCAGGAGGCACCCTCGGTGTGCGCAGGGAGGGGAGCACGGGCACTGCAGCGGCTGGAGGTTGCTCTGGCTCTGGAGATCTTTTTCTTTTTTAACCCTCACCCAAGGATATGCTGTTCATTGAATCTAGGGAGAGAGAGAAACATCCATCAGTTGCCTCTGTGTGTGCCCCCACTGGAGATTGAACCCGCAACCCGGGTATGTGCCTTCACCCAGGAATTGAACTTTGACCCTTCAGTGCCCTGGACAACACTAACCAACCGAGTCACACCCACCAGGGCAGAGCGCTTTCTGATGAGCTAGGGGCTCCTCCTCAGGGTGGGCTCCCCCCTCCCCCTCCCCCTCCTTTGTGCTCCCTGAGCAGGAGGAATGAGGGAGTGACCCCCTGGGATCAGCAGGCTCTGTGCAAGGCCGTGCCCTGTCCCGCTCAGCTGTGCCTGTCTCTCTAGGACCGGAAGCTCACCAAGCTCGAGCGGCAGCGGTTCAAGGAGGAGGCTGAGATGCTCAAGGGCCTGCAGCACCCCAACATCGTGCGCTTCTATGACTTCTGGGAGTCCAGCGCCAAGGGGAAGCGGTGCATCGTGCTGGTGACGGAGCTGATGACCTCCGGGACGCTGAAGACGTGAGTGTGTCGCCTGCCTGGCCGCCTGGCCCACCGGGGCCTCAGGGTGGGCTCGGCCCAGGGTGCGGGGCCCACAGCAGCCGGTGGTCCTGCCTGGTGTTTGGTCAGCACTCCTGCCTCACCGGGTGCCCTGTTGGGTGACAAATGCATGGCCCGCCGCAGTGGGAAGCCCTTTCACACATGAGTAGCCAGTGACCGGCAGCCCCGCCCCCCCTTGCAGGTACCTGAAGCGGTTCAAGGTGATGAAGCCCAAGGTGCTGCGCAGCTGGTGCCGGCAGATCCTGAAGGGGCTGCTGTTCCTGCACACCCGGACACCCCCCATCATCCACCGGGACCTCAAGTGTGACAACATCTTCATCACTGGGCCCACCGGCTCCGTCAAGATCGGCGACCTGGGCCTGGCAACCCTCAAGAGAGCGTCCTTTGCCAAGAGTGTGATAGGTGAGCTCAGCTCTCCCAGGCCCTGCCACCACCTCTCCCCCCTCTTCCCCTCAGCCAAGCTGTGGCCTCCCGGGCCTGCGTGGGGCTGTGGGTCAGGTGGTGGGGCTGGCTCCTGTGGGCTGTGGCGCTCAGGAGCAGGAAGGCGGCCTGATCGACAGAGCGGTTCAGGGACTCCGGCTGGTGAGGCTGGAGCGCCCTCTGCAGGTGGGGAGCCGAGGTATTTGGGCCTGGAGTGAACAGGTGTCTGGGTGGGCGGGGTCTGGGGCTTCATTGTGGATGTGGCTTACTGGCTGTGCTGGCCTCTGCCTTTCTCTTCCTCCTCTGAGAGCCACTCCGCAGCCTTTCTGGGCAGAGCCCTCAGAGGAAGAGAGAGGGAGAGAAAGAAATATTGGTTGACTGCCCCCTGCACGCCCCCTGCTGGGGATCAAGCCTGCAGCCCCAGGCATTGCCCTGACTGGGAATCAAACCTGCGACCTTCTGGTTCATGAGATGATGCTCAACCACTGAGCCACAGCAGCTGGGGCCCTGGCTGCAGTCAGGGGAGACAGGTGCGTCTGGCCTCTGAGTGTGGCCAGAGTGGGGTCCTGGCTAGCAGGGGGTGCTCTTTGTCCACAGGGTCTAGGCCTCAGGCAATGGGCCCTCCTGGCTTTGCCAAGAGAGAGCTTGGAGGGGCTTTGGGGCAGCTCTTTATGGGGTTCAAGACATCTGGAACACACTAACGTGCTGCAGGGCTTGCCGGCTCCCAGTGGGGCTCCATGAGACACCACAGAGATAGCTGTGTAAATCCTCAGCTGAGGACATGTTTCCACTGCTTTGAGAAAGAGGGAGAGATAGAAACATCAATGATGAGAGAGAATCATTGGTTGGCTGCCGCCTGCACTCCCCCAACCCAGGCATGTGCCCTGACCAGGAATCGAACCCGTGACCTTTCAGTGCACGGGATGGTGCTCAACCATTGAGCCACGCAGACCAGGGCTGCGGTATAAACATTTTGAAGACAACCCTCCTCCCGCCATTTGCTTTCTAACACAACAGCTAGTTCATGGTATTTTGCATCTGTTTTTTAAAAAACTTGGACCTTCAGAAAACCTTCCATAGTCACTGGAGAAGTTAAAAAGTAGCCTCACTGAAGAGGATGCCCCTTTGTGTTTAGCTTGACAGATGCTCAGTTGGACTTGTTCTCACAAAAGGAGTGTGATTATTAGAGCAAAAATTTGTTACAGAAAAACTAAAAAAACCTAGACCAGTGTCACTAAGGAAAACCGCTGTCACAGCTGCCAGATGAGTCCCGTCTGTGCTCATGGCCGCGCACCGTGAGGTCAGCGTGTGCACACGTGTGTATTTTGTGTACTTTACTCTGCCTGTGGTAAGTCTTCACGGCCTTAATTCAGAGTGAACATCATTTTAAAACCTTGTGTCTTGGAACGCATGAACGGTCTCCACCTGGTACCTGCCAGCCAGTGCCCGTGCCGTGCCCTCCTGGTCTGCTGCCCACGCTCTGCCGTGCGATGGGCCTGTCTGGGGATATTGGGGCTCTTCGGGGTTTTTGCCATCTCAGCTGTTCTGTGGTGGCCACGGGTGTTGTCTGCTCCAGTTCCCTGGGCTTGCGGAGGGGAGTGCGGGCTGTGCTCTGCCCTGAGAGGCACCCAGCGTTTCCCCGCTCTGTGGGCGGGTCCAGCCAGAATCAGGAGGGTCCTGGGTGGGCTTTCGGGAACCTCTGTCTACAGAACAGTCCTGTTTGAGTCAGGGTTCCGGGACCTGCTGCCCGGCATGTGGATGGGGCGGGGCTCTGGGCCTCTGACCGCTGACCCTGCCCCTGTTGCCCCGGCACAGGCACCCCCGAGTTCATGGCGCCCGAGATGTACGAGGAGCACTACGACGAGTCGGTGGACGTGTACGCCTTCGGCATGTGCATGCTGGAGATGGCCACGTCGGAGTACCCCTACTCGGAGTGCCAGAACGCCGCACAGATCTACCGCAAGGTCACCTGTGTGAGTGCGCGGCGAGGCCTTCGGGAAGCCCAGCGCTGTGAGAGGAAGGGCCGCGCCTCCTCCGATGGGGAAGGCGGAGGTGCTCCGGCTCCAGCTGCAGGTGGAGCCGCAGCAGCAGTGATGCAAGTGCTGCAGGCAGTGCCCAGGGCTGCCAGGGCCTTAGCGCTGCAAGGCTGGAGCCCCTCCTCTGGGCCATGCCAGGGGCCGCGGGAGTGTGTGTCCCCAGGATTTAATCAGACAGACCACGGTTCTTCCCTGCAGCCGTTCTGCCTGGGGGAGCGCAGCGGGCATGGCTGTTCCGGGCCCTAGTCTGTCCCTGTCTGCGCCTGCAGCACTGGGCAGGCTCCCCCAGACAGAGCACTCCCTTCTGTAGGCTCCTGGCTTCTGCAGAGGAGCCTGGTTCTTGCCACCCCAGGCACCAGCCCACTGCACACTCCCGAGCCAGCCTGGGGTTCGCTGGCTCTCGCCTTTGGTTCTCAGTTCTGAGTTAGCGGTCACGTGTGAGCTCTGAGCCCCTCCTGCGTGCTGCTCGGGCTTCGGGCTTCGAGGAGGAGAGCAGGGCTCTGGTTGGAGGCCCCGCGGTGGGTCAGGACCCACAGTTGGGTGCAGCTCCCTGTGCTGCTGGCAGGAAAGGCTGTGGGCAGTTCCTCCAGGATGGCGGGGCCTGAGAGATACAGGTCCACGGCGGGGCCTTGGTGTTGGCTCTGGGTGTGGGAGGAGCCGCCTGGAGACCCTTGTTCTGGTCCACCTGCTGGCCTGGGGAGATGGGCTGAGCCCCGAGGGCGTGCTCCTCGGCCACCTGGTTCTCCCAGCAGCCCCAGTGCCCTGTTAGGCCCCAGAAACAAGCCATGGCCAGGTCCCTAGGCGCCTGTGGTACCCATGTTGGTTTGGAAAGCAAGGCACAGCGTGTTCCTGACCCTCAGTGTGTCCTCGGGCCAGTGACACCTGTGCTCCTGCCGTCAGCTCACTCCTTGTGCACCCACACTCGGCCCAGGCTCTGGGGGGGAGCACTGTGCCCTCGGCTTTCAGCTCCCCTGGCTCCATGCAACGAGCCCAGACATGGCCCCTCCAGAGCCGTGCCTTGTTCTTCTGGCACAGTCTTCACCGGCTTGGGGGCTCCGGTTTCTCAGATGTAAGTGGCAGTGTGCCCACCTGCCTGTGATGGTTCCTCAGACCCGCCCACAGGGTCCTCTCTTCCTCCCGGCAGCGGGAAGCCTCTTGCTCTGTGGCTTCGGGGAGAGGCACAGCTCTTGCCTCCACGGGGAGCCCTCTCCGCTCCTGAAGCCCAGGGTCCCGTATCAGACTCTCGCCCGCGTCAGACACAGCACGACTCCCATTGGCTACGGGTGTGGTCCTGGGGGTCAGGGTTTGGTGGGTGCAGTGGGGCCTCACCTGGACTGCGGAGTTGTGGGACATTTTCTGGCCTGTCCCCCCTCATGGTGGGAAAATGCACTCCCCATTCTATACATGAAAAAGGATATCAGGACAGGCCTGGGAGGGGGTCTGATGGCTGAGCCCTCAGTGTGTTTAAATGTTTAACCACCGATGTCCCTCAGGCAACCCCTCACTCCCGCAGATGACAGAGAAACCCTGCGGTCTGGCCCCGCACCTGCAATACTGTGCGCTTTTGCCGCACCGTGGCCAGGCTGCACGGTGACTGCCCACTGGGGCTCTGGTCCGTGTGGATGCTTGGCACACCCTGGCACCCCTGCCTAAAGGTCATCTGGCCTGGTTGCTGCCACAGAACTGGATGGTGGAACTGAATAGCACAGTCGTTTACAAAAGCCTTGAGCTACGAGCCTGGGAAATCAACCCTCAGTGGGCCAGGGTCTCGGCGGCCCTGCGTCAGCCGCAGTAGCGCCCCTGAGCAAGCGTGTGGGAGAAAGGCTGGCCTGGGAGGGGCCTTTCCTCCTTCAGCCTCCCAGACCCTCGGGCAGATCCACCAGCCCCCGCCTCCTCCATTCACCAAAGTGGATGAGGGTCCTCACTTCCTTCCCCAGCTCACGCCCACCGGTCCCCACCCGAAGCCGGTGCACTTCCTGCCTGGTCTTCGGGGTTAGTGTGAGGAGAGTGGGGGCCCTGGAGAGCCCAGTTCCATGTTAGGTGACGCTGCTCATCTCTGCAGGGCATCAAGCCAGCCAGCTTTGAGAAAGTGCACGATCCTGAAATCAAGGAGATTATTGGGGAGTGCATCTGCAAAAACAAGGAGGAGAGGTGAGTTCCCAGCGGCACTGGACCCGCTGAAATCTTTCCAGCTGGCCTGCAGAGAGCTTCAGCCACAGGCGCCAGCCTGCTGCAGTCAGTGGGACACACTGGAATACACCCCTTGACCTTGGGGACTGTCCCGAAGCCCTCTTTCCATCTGCTGGGAGCTTCCGGCCCACCAGGGGGTTCCTGGGGCCTCGCTCTGCCCCTTGCCTTTTCTCTGTGTGTTCTCTGGTGGATCTGTCTGTTGCGGCTTGCAGGATGCCCCCGTGCCCGGCCTCCCTCTGCGGCTCATCTTGCCCACTCCCCTGAACTCCAGGCTGCACATCCCATGCATCTCTGTCTGATCCATCCAAATCTCCTGCAGCTTATTGTGTTCGAGTTCGGAGGCCGCCAACCGCCCACCTCCTCAGGTGGTCTCAGGTCTCCCTCAGCTGCTCAGCAGGAAACGAGGCTGTGCTTTGAGCTTTCCTCCTTCCCCTCTTTCAGTTCCTCCCTCCCTCCCCCTGCGCCCCCCTCCTCTGCCTTCCCCCTGCCCTTCCTTTCCTGCCCATCTTTCCCCTCCTGTCCTCCTCCTCTTCCTCAGCCCTCGCCTCCCAGCCCCATGTTCAGTCACTGTGCCCAGGGTTGGTCACTGCCGTTCTCCACAGCCACCATCTCTGGGGCAGGGCCCTGTCCTGGTCCCTGGGCACTTCTCCCCCGCAGGTTGTCCTGTTTTGTTCGTTAAGGAGAAATACTAAAAAGTGTGAGCTATAACCCCTATCAGAACAGTGCAGGAACACACATAGGGTGGGAGAATCCTCGCACAGACCCTGTGAGACCAGGACGCCAGCGCCCGCCAGGACCTCGCCCGGTCCCCTGCGTGTGCCGGCCCCGCAGGGCTGGGCCCTGGAGCTCGCAGCCGTGGTGACCAGAGTTGACTCTGGTGGAGGCTGTGTTGGGACAGTGCATGGATCCATTCCTGCCGGACAGCAGCTAGTGTTTGGAATGCTGGGGGGAGGGAGGGGGGCAAAGTGGTTACCATGGCAACTCCCAGCCGCTGCGCCTGCCCTGTCCTGAGGAGCTTCCAGAAAACCCTGAATATGGTTCCAGATCCAGGTCCCATTCAGTCCTATGGAGCCAGGTGTCTGACGCCCGGCGCCTGCCCCACAGCGGCCCGTGTCCGCACCGCAGAGCCTGGCTGACCGGCCCTCCCTGGGCTCCTGGGCTCTCACCCTGGGCATGCCTTCTCTTTATCATCAGAGAAGAGCCTCAAATGCTGCCCGGTGAGATGTGTCAGGAGCCATCTTGTCCCCCCAGGAGGCAGGGTGTGCACTGGTAAGCTGCTCCGTGCCCCCTGGAGGCAGAGCAGTCAAGCAGGTGGTCCAGACAGTCCAGAGAGCGGGTGGCCTCCGCCCCAGCAGGTGTGCCCTCAGCTGCTCCCTCCCCAGGTACGAGATCAAGGACCTGCTCAGCCATGCCTTCTTCGCGGAGGACACGGGCGTGAGGGTGGAGCTGGCTGAGGAGGACCACGGCCGGAAGTCCACCATTGCCCTGAGGCTCTGGGTAGAGGACCCCAAGAAACTGAAGGGCAAACCCAAGGACAATGGGGCCATAGAGTTTACCTTCGACCTGGAGAAGGAGACGCCGGACGATGTGGCGCAGGAGATGGTAAAGTGACACTCACTGCGGTGGGCTGTGGAGAGTGGCGGTGGGTGGTGGTGGGCAGTGGACGGTGGTGGTGGAGGGTGGCGGTGGGCGTGGGTGGGCAGTGGAGGGTGGTGGTGGGCGTTGGGTGGGCTGTGGAATCGTGGGGCATAGCCTTGAGAGTCTGTGGTTTCCAAAGGTTGGAACAGAGCCAGAAGGGTGTTGCCGTGGGAGGCGTCTGGAACGAGGGCGTGTTGTGTGTGGCCGTGAGGGACAGCGTGGGTTGGATACCCCGCTGCCCAGATGCGGGACGTGGCTCAGAAACGGGGTGTCAGGAAAGGCCCCACTCTGACCGGCTTCTTCTGACTTTGCATAAATGTGGGCCTTAGAGTTTGGCCTTTACGTTGTGTTTTGAGCCGCATTTGGCCCAGGAGGCTGGCAGGAGCAGGCGGGGGTGTGCTCAGGGTCGCGGAGAGAGGAAAGGTACCGTGAGAAACTGATGAGACCGGCTTTTCCTGGAGAAACTGGCAGAAGTGAGAGCCAGCAGGGTCCCTGCAGAGGGCGAGCCCGCCTTCCCTTTAAATGACCGTGACTGAATATAGCGCATCTATCAGAAGTGCCCACAGGGTACAACCAACAGGTGCTGCCCAGCTGGACTCGCCAGTGCGGGGGGTTTAGGAGGAGGAGTGGCCGGGCAGGGTTGGTCCGGAAGAGGTGCAGCTTCCCGCTGGGTCCAGGCCCTGCTCCCAGGAGGAGCCAGGCTGGTTGTGCAGGCGAGTGCGGGAGCCACGGCCGAGGGCGGTCGGTGGGCTCACGGGGCCCAGGCACGTGGTGAGGTGAGGGTGCAGCAGGCCAGCGGGAGACGGAGTCACGGCCAGTCATGGCCCCACCTTCCACCGGGTGCGGCCTGTGCCTGGCAGCGCTCGCATTTGCAGTGGGTGTGACGTCCTGGTGGCCTGGCTCCCAGGTCAGGACCAGCCTGCCCCTTCCCAGCGGCCAGTCACGGGCAGACACGTGTTGCGCACGGATTGGATGGGTCTGTAGCGCCCTGCCGGGAGGCTGGCCCACGTGGCATGCTGGGGACTGCTGCGCGTTTACTGAGCGTCGCACCTGCACAGTCCCCTGCACGGTGCCCTGTGATGCGCCACGCGTCCCCCTTCACGCTGATGGCCCCTTTCCGCGCTCTGCTGAAATTTAAAGCACGGATAAGTGACATGCAAGGCGGCGCGCAGGCCAGCAGCCTGAGGCGGCGTTAGGGTGTGGGTCGTGTGCAGTGTCCTGGAGGGACCTCGGGCCGGGGACCTGGCCAGCAGCGCACACTGACCAGGGGGCAGGAAGGAGGCCCTCCGAGGAGATGAGGTGCCCTGGGACAGCCTTGGGGGACGGTGCTTCTGGGCTCTGAGGGTGGGGCCAGGGCCAGGGACGCAGGAGGCACAGGCGGCCAGCGGTGCGCCCGCCCTCTCTGCGGCAGCCTGGGCACCAGGGCGCCTTCCTGCCCAGAGGGATTCACTTCGGGGGCCAAGCCAGGTCCAGTGTCCAGTGCCTGGGCCACAGGGGCGCCTCCCGGTGCTGCCTGCCCCTCAGCCTACAGCCTCCTCCTCCTGCTCAGGGGTCTGGATCCAGCTGCCCTTTGGGTCTGCCCACCTCCCTGGAGGGCTCTTCCCCCCGATGCTGCTCTCCTGCAGCCCAGCCGCCCCCCCAAGGCCCGACTCGCCCATCCCTGGCACTCGCTGAACTGGCAGCAGGTCCCAGTGGAGGCCCTGGACCAGTGTTTCTCCTGCCCCCCCCCCCCCCCCACCGTCTCCTTGTGGAGCACTTTCCCTGCAGCGCAGTGTCCACGCAGCAGGCACGTCCTGTGCTCAGTTCCAGGCAAAACCAGAACAGCGTGTCCCCACTGCTCTGCGTGGCGCGCGGGCCGGACTGGGTGGAGCGGCCGTGCTGACCGAGCGCTGCCTGCCAGTGCTCTCGCCTGGCCCCTGCGGCTCCCGCCGGGCCTGGCTGGTGCTGGTCCTGTGGCTGTTGGCCCAGTTCTTACCTCCCCACCCACCGTAAACCCCAGAGCTGGCACCAGGGTCCCGGCCTCGGCAGCCCCAGGTCTCCCAGCCTCGGCAGCCCCAGGTCTCCCAGCCGGCCCTGGGCCGGCGCCAGGACCTGAGGAGGCTCACTGCCCAGCAGCCTTAACTCAGCACAGACTTCCTCCAAACATAGAGTAACAGACGTCATGAATGAGACGTGCCAGTTGTCATAAATGGAAGGTAACTCACAAGGAAACTCAGCAGGAGCACAGGCTGACCCTGCACTGGGGCTGCTGCCTCGTTCTAAGGCTGAGGTCTGAGCACGGGGGGGGGGGGGGGGGGGGGGGGGGGGGGGGCGGAGAGATTCTGGCACCCGCTCTTGGTTCTGACGAGGCCCTCAGGGTGGCAGGGAGCAGGGAGGACAGCTCTGCTCTCCCTCTAAACACACCCTTGTCCCCTCCCAGCAGGTCCTCAGGCAGGGACATGGGGTGGGGGACGTGGATCAGAAAGACGATGCCTGGGGGGCTGAGAGCAGGCAGGTCTCTGATCTGGAGGTTCCCCTCAGTGGGCCCTGGGCGGCAGGGGGGCGGGGGGAGCCCAGCACAGGGGGTTCTCGAGGTTATGTGGCAGCTTTACTTCTGCCTCATTCCCCGGATAATGGGGCTTTCGGGGTGACATATGATATGGCTACAATCTTCCCTGGTTGGGAAAAAACAGAAACGAGGCCTGGCGAGGCTGACTGGTGGGGAGGCGCGGCGTCTGTGCCGTGCAGGGAGGAAAGTGGGTCACGGGCAGAAATAGAAGTGGCAGCAGGAGCCGGGGCGGCCTCTTTTCAGGGCCTCCAGTCAGGCGGCTGTGCCCTGGGCGGTGCGTGCTGACCCCCGGCCTGGCCCCTGCTCTCACCCGCTGAGCCTGGGGTGGGGGGCAGGGGGCACGCTGGGGTCATGGTTCATCCGTCAGTCATCTGGCAGGAGGCGTCCCTGAGTGCGTGAAGTCATCACAGACTTCCCAAAGGGTTGCAAGCATGCGCCCCAGCCCTGTGTGAGGACATCGCCGCTGGGCAGCCTGGGGCCTGCGCCCCAGGACTAGGACGAGGACGGAGCTGCCCAGCTCCCGGGCTCAGAGCCGAGTGCAGCCCGCCCCTCGGCCCATCCTTCAGTGCCAGGCGGGGCAGCCCGCCCTCTAGTTCTCCGGCCGGACTCCCTGTGATCGCGTGGTGGGGTCTGCAGGTGCAGCCCTCATTAGTGACTGTTGGTGGGAGGTGCTGTGGAACCAGCAGTGTCTCGTTTCACCAGGTTTTTTATTTCTATTTCTGTGGATGCGCAGCTTGGCTTTATTCAGTAGGTTATATGCTCCGTTGGTGAGTTAGCCCTCACCGTGCAACAAATGCCCAGCTCCACACTGCACACACCTCTCCCCATTCTCCGAGGTCGGGGGTCCAGGTGTGGCTTAGCAGGCGGTTTGGGGTCAGGGCCCCTCGTGAGGTGTGGCTGAGGTGTGGCCAAGGCTGACCCGGGCTGAGGGGCGACCAGGGCTGAGGACCAGGCCAGCTCACGTGGCTACGGGGAGACTCAGTCTCTAGCCAGGGGGGTTGTTCCACAGGCCGTTCATGACGTGGCCTCGTGTGAGCCAGTGAGCCAGGAGGGAGGGAGACAGACAGACGCTGGGGCTGAGAGACAAAAGGAGGGAGGCAGAGAGAGGTAGAGATAGGGATTGAGATGGACGCAGATAAGAGACAGGCAGGAGAGGGACAGACAGACGGAATGCCCATACGTGGCCCCCCTTTGTAACCTCGGACCACAGGGACACTCCCGCTGCTGCCCGCAGACCTGTGTCCCTTGCATGTACGCGTGTGGACACGCCCTTTAACCTGCCTGGTAGCAAGGTGCACTTGGACGCTCAGAATGTCCAGATGCGGCCGGCGGGCAGCTGGGCACTGGCACCTGCTTCCCCTCTGGCAGGAGGCGTCGTTCAGCCCCTGCCCTCTTCCTGCCGACCTGACCCCGTGCACGGGCTGTCTGTCGCCCTGTGCCACGCTCCTGAGCGTGTTTGTCTGTTGTGCCTGGACACTGTGGGCCACACTTTTCCAGGCAGCACCCAGGCTTCCCCTCTGATTTTCTCTCTTCTGCATGGGGTCCGAGTGACGGCCAGCACCCTGGCTTCCCCTCTTCTGTGGTTTGACCATGAATCTCCTTGGAGAGAGCCATGGTTTCTCCCAGGAGCCTCGGCGCCTTTACAAATGCTCCCCAACACCCTGTGGGTTGCACCGGGTCCCTAATGCTGCACAAGGTCCTGGTCTCCAGCTACAGAGCCGTGCCTTCTCGGAGAACGCTGAGGACAGCGCTGGCCTGGGGTCCTGGTCCCTGCCCCCAGCACAGGCATTCGGCAGGACACCTTCCGCTCAGGCAGCCTGGCGGGGGGAGGGGCACCAGGCAGCCTCAGGGCTCAGAGGGCGGGCTGCTTCCTTCCCTCCAGCTCACCTCAGTGAGGCCCAGAGGGTCACTCCCCCTGTGGGTGTGGTTGGCGCTGGAGGCTGTCCTCATGGGATGAGGAGAGGTCCCTGAAGGACGGGAGAGGCCTGAGGAGGGACTTGGTGCTGAGATCCCTGACTGGGCAGTGGCGGTGCGGGCGGAGGGCGGAGGGCAGGCGGGCCGTGGGGTGTGCGGGGAGGGGGAGGGGGATGGCCCCAGTAACGACCGGGGATCCCCTTGCAGATCGAGTCTGGGTTCTTCCACGAGAGCGACGTGAAGATCGTGGCCAAGTCCATCCGCGACCGCGTGGCGCTGATCCAGTGGCGGCGGGAGAGGATCTGGCCGGTGCTGCAGCCGCAGGAGCGGCAGGACCCGGGCAGCCCCGACACAGCCCGGGCTCCGCACGCGCCCCTGCAGGTCCAGGTGACCTACCACACCCCCGCGGGGCCGCCGGAGCCCGAGGAGCCCGAGGCGGACCAGCACCTCCTGCCCCCCACGCTGCCGGCCAGTGCCACCTCCCTGGCCTGTGAGTGCCGCTCTCCCCATCCCCGGCTCTCCCGTGGGTGTGGGGTTGGCACGGGAGGGCTCTTCCCGGGCGGGCGTGGCAGCATCCCTGGTGCTGCACAGAGCTCTCTGCCAGCTCCTCAGGACAGGGGCACAGACGTGCAGGTCCCCCAGAGCTGCCGTGCCAGGCCGTGGGTGTAGCAGCTCTGGCAGCTCCTCATCCACTGGAGGGCACCGGCCGGCAGCATGGGGCCCTGGGCTCCACACCGGGTGGGACGTCTGTTCAGGGCAGGGCATCGAGGGCTGCCGGCCGAAGGTTGAGTGGTCGTGCGGTGTGACCTTTGTCCTGAGGACTGTCTGTCCCCAAGGTGACCTGCCTTCTAGTGTCGAACCTTGAGACCGCGTGTGTTGCCGGCGGGCAGTGGGGTCCGTGCGTACCTGGCTCCACCCAGGCCTTTGGACCAGAGCAGTGTCTCCTGCAGATCCAGGCAGGAGCGGGCCTGCCTTGCCCTCCGTGCCCACATGTGGCTGTGGCCGAGGCGGGGCGGCCTTCCTGTCTGGAGAAGCACAGAGTTGCCGGGCAGCACTGTGGGCTGTGGTTGGGTTGTGTGCGGGGGAGGTGGAACAGTCTGAGTGACGTATTGAATAGGCACACCCTCCGTTTACCGTGAACGTGGCGGGATGGTTTTCAGAGCAGGCTCTTTAAGCTGAAAGCAGTGGCTGGTGTCACTTTGAGACAGTTAGCTTACTGTTTGCTTCCTTCCCAACCTCCTCAAGTTTGTTGTGGAGAATAAAACCGCTGTAGCATCTTACTCCATGTTTTTATAAACCAAATCAATCAATCGACGTGCATAACTTTAAAGGAGAAAGCGCACACACTCTGCAGATGTCCTCGTTAGCTGCACGGTTTCTGGGACGGGAGTGAGGAGGTTGCCTTTTGTTACATTCGAAGAGGATGTACACGAAGCCAGTGAGTGTCCTCCCTGGGCCGCTGATGCCCGCTAACTTCCCGAGACAGCCTGCACGCGCGGATGCTCACACCCACACTGCACACTCGGCTCTCGCCGCAGCACCTGCACACTCAGCACCGCACTCGGCCAGAGCAGGGAGCCCATGCACAGCCGTGCCTCTGGCCACAGTGCCCACGGACAGACAGCTGGACAGATGGGGCCCAGGCAGCACACCCGGGAGAAAGGACCGGATCCTGGGAAGCAAAGGGAAGCACATGTGCCTGCACCCGTCGGGAGGTGCCGCGTGCGCCGTGACAGCCACCGCAGCTCAGGTCGCGCTCCATGCAGGGGGCGTGGTCCCACTCCCCGGACGTGAGAGGAATTCATCAGTAGTTTAAAATCTCTTCTTAAAATTTGATTTTTAACTGTACAAATAATAGACATGCCCACCTCAGAATTTTGGGAATTACACACATGGTTAGAGCTGCTGTACATGAGCCTTGTCGGGTCTCTTCCCATCCTCCGTGCAGTTCTCTCTGTCTCTGTCTTCCTCTGTGTCTCTCTGTGTCTCTCTTGTGAACTCCTTTTCTGTCTGTCTCTTCGTCTGTCTATCTCTTTCTCTCTCTCTATAAGTGGAAATGACTGCCAGTCACCTCATTACAAACCAGAGCCACTTGTCTGGTTGCTTTTGCACAGTCCCACCTCAGCATTCTTCTGTCTTCCTCGGTCAAAATACGTCCTAATCAGTCCTGGGGAAAAATTATTTTTATATACAAAGTTGAAAAGATACCCCTTTTACTTTATTTGTTTAAATAATATTGCCAGTCTGAACAGTGGCCCCCTGTAGAAATAGCTTGGTGTACATCCATGACAAATTGTAATGTTTGTGTAGCTTTTGGAATCTGGTAGTTATGGACTGGGAGTGCCGTTTTAAACAGTTTTTGAACCTTTGGTCAGATGAGCAGGTGGGCCATGTGGGTCCTGTCTGCTCCCTTCACAAGCCCCGCCCCCAGGTGTGGGCAGCTCCGCCCACTGGCCATGTCCCAGGCCATGAGGGGCTGACTGCAGGAGAGGCCGCAGAGCCTCCGGGTCCCCTCTCACGGCCTCTGTGGGGTGAGGGCCTTGTCAGCCCCATTTTCCAACCAAGTTAGACCCGGCCTGTGACTTGGGGGCCGGGTTTGGACCCAGACCTCCTGCTTCAGACCCTGTCACTGTAGGTGAAGATGGTCAGGGTCTTCGAACCCCCCATCATAAGACACGGGTGACCGCTGACCAGAGTCTTTCCGGACGCGGTCATCCAGCCTCCCGAGACCCTGCGCCCTTGCAGGGCTGGACGAGGGCTTACTTCAAGGCCAGGCTGGCACTGTGAGGCCCCGTCCAAGCCAGGGCGGGGGCAGCTGCCCGGCCTGTGCAGACTGTGTGAGGTGCCCTGGGATGTGTGGTGGCCTCGGCAGCCCCCCAGGTGTCAGCTGTGTGGGTGGGCCACCAGGGCCGTCTCGGGGTGCAGTTGGCCCCTTACGGCTCTGTCGCTGGTTATGTGAAATGATGCACATTCGTTGCTGACACCACCTGGAAACACAAGCCTTCTCCCAGGAGAAACGTCCGGACGAACTGCGTGTTCGTGGGAGCCCACGTTTGCCTTCCCGGGGTCTGTGTGGCGTGTCGTGGGGGTGGCGTTTGGGGGCCCCACTCTGAGCTGTGCTTTTGTCCTCCCTAGCGGACAGCACATTCGACAGTGGCCAGGGCTCCACCGTGTACTCGGACTCACAGAGCAGCCAACAGAGCATGGTTCTGGGCTCACTGGCAGATGCCGCCCCACTCACCGCCCAGAGCGTGTGCAGCGCCCCCGTGAGCGTGAGCGTGAGCGAGGGGCTCGTCCTGCCACACAGCCTGCCCTCGCTGGGGGCCTACCCGCAGCCCGCCACGGTGAGTCAGCTTGGCCCTGCCCCCAGGAGCCCGTCCACGCAGCGTGGAGCCGGGGATGGGCCCTCGGCTCTGCGGCCGTGCTCAGCTCCTCCTGCCTGAGCAGGTCCACAGGAGGTCCGTCTGTGCCGGGAAGTGCAGGCTGCAGGCTGGAGGCCTGCCGGCGAGAAATACAGAAAACAGCCAGTAAACCCAGTGTGAGGCGTGGAGGTGCCTGAATCGTGAGAAATGTTTTCAGTGCCATTTGAGAAGCAGATTAAAAGGGCTCATGTGTTTGAGGAATAATTTGTAAGCCTCCTAGGTGAATGGAAATGGCTAGGTAAAGGGTCACATTTGGCATATATTTTTCAACCAGAGGCCCAGGGCATGAATTTGTGCACGGGTGGGGCCCCTCGGCCTGGCCAGCAATCGAGGCCAATTGGGGCCAGCGGTCGGGGGAGGGACCGCAGGAGGTTGACCGGCAGTGGAGGTTGGCTGTGGGAGCGCACTGACCACCAGGGGGCAGCTCCTGCATTGAGCATCTGCCCCTGGTGGTCCGTGTGCATCTTAGCCACCTGTGGACCTGTCGTTCGGTCGTTGAGGCTTTTATATCCATAGATGTTGATTTTAATGCCAAAGAAAGCAAAGCACTTGCTTGCTTCCCAATCCTAAGCAGGCAGAGAAGTTGCCCTTGAGGCAGGCGGTGCAGTGGGGTCCAGCAGGAGACTGAGGGCCCCTGGGCTTAGGAGTGGTCAGGGCCAGGCCTGCCTGGAGCGCGGTCCCAGGCTCTCCCTCCCTCTCCGCACCCTCCCACGGGGGCCCCGCCTCCTCTGTCCTCTGGGCTCAGAAGCTGCTCTGGACAAGCAGTCGGCGTTTGGGGGCGGAGCCCGGCTCTGTGCACTGGCATTATGGTTTGCTCATATTGTGAAATGAAGTGCAGTGCAGTTCGTCATCAGCTCCACGGGCAGCTGTCGGGAAAGCCAGTGTTATCGGAGCACGTGTCTTGGCTTGGGGCTTGCCCGGCGGGAGCCGAGCCGCTTCTCAGGTGCAGGTCAGGCCTCTGGCTCCCGGCCGCCCGTCCGGGCAGCCCCTGCCTGTCCAGCTCCTGCCTGCAGACAGGGAAGGCTGAGCCCCGGGGGTGCAGGCCGGCGGCCAGGGCGGAGCTGGATGCGACCAGAGTGCTTTCTCCCATGTCTTGCCTGTTTATGCAGAAACAGCTTGGACGGAGGGTGGGAGGGGATCCCCAGTGTCCGGGGTCTCCTGGGAAGGGTTATTGTGGTGAAGGAGAGCAGGGCGGAGGGGCTGGGGCCTCCTGAACCAGCGTGGCCAGGCCGGGCGGGAGCCGTGCACTGCGACTCGCCCGGGCTCCGCTGAGTGCATGGCAGGCTTGTCCGTCGCAGCCTTCACTGCGAAAGGTGGACACGACAGAACAGGTGCAGGTGACAGATTACTATCCTGGGTCTCACCCAGAAGCCCCGGAGACTACGGGCCCATCTCTGAGAGCAGGCTGGCTCCTGCCACCTGCGGTGTCCTCCTGCTTCTCAATTTCCCACTATTTTGAAGTAAATCCCAAACGGAAAGATATTTTGTCCGTAAACACCTCAGCCTATACCTGCCGGATCCAGACTCCTGAAAACAGCCCACTCCCATGGTCGCACCAGCGATGATCACATCAGCAGCCGTTTTGACTGTCCCCCCACAGCCGTGCTGGAGACCCCGCTCTGCAGGGGCCCGGGCTGCAGGCCGGATGTCTGCCTCCACGTTTCCATGTTGTGTGCATGTGCACACATGTACGTGTTATACAGTCAGGAAGCAAATGCATTTTATCTTTCCCCACTGTTGTCATAACAAGCGTTTCTCTAGTTCTACAAACCCTTATAATGGCCTTTTCTCATGACTGCATCATATTCTCTGGTGCTAATGTTCTAGAACCTTCCTAACGCCACAACCCTTTAATACAGTCCCTCATGTTGTGGTGACCCCCAATTTCATTGTTACAAATTGAACATAATTAAAGCATAGTGATTAATCACAAAAAGAATATGTAATTATATATGTGTTTTCCAATGGTCTTAGGCGACCCCTGTGAAAGGGTCGTTCGACCCCCAAAGGGGTTGTGACCCACAGGTTGAGAACCACTGCTCTAGAACATTCCTTGGTTAGGAGTTGTGACCATATTTGCCTTAAAGGCCGCCACATCTTGCTTCTGTGAGTCATGTTCCTAGGCAAACCGTTCCTAGCAGGTGATGGGCATGGGGAGTGAGTGGGTCCCTGCATCTGTCAAGCTCGTGGGGGGTGGGGTCTTCAGGGCAGCCACTGAGCGTGCCCCCCTCTCTGCAGCCTGGCCTGCCGGCGGGCGCCATCCCGCCCTCCACCCGCGCTTCGCTCCCACCGCATTTCCCGGAGCCAGCCGTGAGCTTTGCCCCTGTGCTGACCGGCCCAGGCCAGCCCATGCCCTCGGGCCACCAGGTGAGTGTGGGCTGCCCCTCCTATGGCCACCGTCGGTGCCTCAGTCTCCCCTGACAATCAGCCATGGCTGGCCTGGGCCCAGGGTGCTCATGGGAGGGGGGGGGTCTCGTGTTTGTGGAATTCAAGTCCCATAGCACTGGGAGGGGCCTCATTCACACACCGCATTCTCCCAGATCTGCATGTCTGGGCTCCCTGCTGGGTGTAAGTGTGTGTGTGCATGTGTGTGTGCACACTCACTGATTATCTCTGTCACGTCCGAGCACCTGTGGGCATTTCAGTGGGACGCTGTGTAAGAGACGCCCCTCTCCCTCCAGCCTCCACTGGCCCAGCCAGCGCCCCTGCCACAGGTCCTGGCCCCACCACCCATGCGCCCTCTCCAGCCGGTGCCCGCTCATCTGCCTCCGTACCTGGCTTCGACCTCCCAGGTGGCCGCGGCGCAGCCGACGCCCATCCAGATGCCACCGGTGCCCCTGCAGCCACTCACTCCAGTCCCCCCGCAGGTACCGCCCCTCTCCTGCCCTGCTCCCTGCTGACCGTGGGGTCCTTGACGGGGGTCCTTGGCAGCACATGCTTGGTGCGGGGTGCCGTCGCCCAGACTCATGCCAGTGATGGTCATGGGGTGCTTTTGCCTTGTGGGGGTCACCGAGCTGTGCCGCTTCCTGGGAAGGCATGAGTGTCCCTGAGGTTCCCCCACGACACAGGTTCCTACCTGCCAGCTGTCACCTGGCACAGCCCTGGTTTCCCTTCCCGCCTAGTTAACCACCCCTCGCTTGTTGGTGGCCGCGGCGTTTAGTTGCTTTTCAATGCACAGAGGTCGGCCTGCACCTCGTCACCACCTTCGAGCTGCCCGGGCTGTGTGTGCGACGCTCGTGTGCTGCCGCCAGAACGGCTTTCTCTTTAGGGCAGCGGCTGCCAGCCCTGTCACCTGATGGCACACAGACTGGTTCCTGAAACTCGGCAGCACTCGGAAAATGTATTTTTTGCCAATCTGACAAAATAGGTTGAATTTTGATTCATTCACAGCAGACGTCTATGGTTGTGTCGGCTGTTGTTGTTTCCTCATTTGACAATCTAAGGGAGCGGTCAGTGCCGCTGACATACAGTCAGGCGCTGCGTGCGGCGAGTCCTCGTGCACACCGGGCGGAATCCCTGCTCCAGAGAGCTGGCCGAGAAGCGCTGGAGTGTGAAGTGTGGAACCCAGGGGCCAGGTGCTGGGTGCCTTGGACCAGAAGGTTTGGGCGCTCCCATGGTGGCACAGCCGACATGCCTGGCCATCCTCAGAACCACCCGCGGCCCTCACGGTGGGGCCAAAGGGGGCTCCCCCAGGCCACCCCACCCTCTTTCCTTCCCTGTGGAAGGTGTCCTGCGCTTGGTTTCACTGGAATTGAGTTTCCTCTTGGGTTCCTTTGGCAGCAGCTGCACAGAAGTATCTCAGGCAGAACCTGGTTGTGCCGGCGCTGTCCCGGGGGCCGAGCCTCCCATGGGCCGCGCCCCGGGGCCGACGTGCTCCATCTCTTTCAGATGCCTCCACCTCCTGTCATCCCGCCAGTTGCTCCCCTGGCCGCAGTCGACAGCCTCCCCTCGGCACTCCCCGACCTGCCGGCTGCCAGTGGGCCTGCGGTGCCGCCTCCCTCTCAGTATTTCTCTCCTGCCGTCATCTTGCCAAGCCTCCCGCTCAGTGCTGCCGGCCCCCTGCCCGCGTCACCAGCCCTGCCTCTGCAGACGGTCAAGCTTCCCCACACCGCCGGGGCACCCCTGGCCATGCCGTGCCAGACCATTGTGCCAAATGTGGCGGCCACCGCCACTGCCATCCCTCTGCTGGCCGTGGCCCCACAGGGCGTGGCCACCCTGTCCATCCACCCCGCTGTGGCCCAGCTCCCGGCCCAGCCCGTGTACCAGGCAGCCTTCCCGCAGATGGTGCCCAGTGACGTCCCGCCTTCTCCTCTCCACACGGCGCAGACTGTGCAGGCTGCCCCTCTGCAGCCGGCACCCCCCGTGCTGCCGCAGCCCCGCCTGCCCAGCGTCACCCACCTTCCTGAGCCGGCTGCTGTCCCCCCGGTGGGGAGCCAGGTAATGCCTGCCAGGAGGGCCTGCTGTCCCGCCCTGGGAGACCCGGTGGTGCCCAAGTTGCAAAGGGCCCGAGGCTCTACTCCTTCGTGGCTGGAGGGCGGCTCCCGGTGGGGACAGGCCAGCAGACAGCACTGTCCACAGGCTGGGCTCTCCTGGGTGTCTGCTGCCTCCTCCCACTCCCAGCACCTGGCAGAAGCCAGAGGTTCCACGGTAGGGGCAGTAGCTGCTTGTGGGTTCCCCACCTTGCTGTGCCGCGGCACCTGCCCTCACCTAGTGGGGCCTGGCAGCCTCCTCTGAGGGTGCTGGGCAGGCTCCACTGTCCATCTTGTCACCTGTCAAAACGAGGTAGGTTAATAACCCCATGTCAGGGAAATGGGCCCCAGGGTCCGGGGACCTGATCTGACAGTTGGGGTCCAGGCAGTGGCTGGGAGCGTGTGGCTGCTGGCTCCAGGGTGGGCCTGGCAGACAAGGATGATGTCCCAGGGTCAGGAGGGGATCTTGGCCGGTGCAGGCGGACAGTGAAGGGACGCAGACGCGCCGGGCTGGCCGGGTGAGCTCCGCATGGCTCTGCTCCCTGCCCAGCCCTGTGTTTTAGAGTCAGGGCTGTGATCCACCCTCTGAGGAGAGGAGTGGGGTGGGGCCTCTTGCCTGGGCACTCTCTCACCTGGTGCCCTCCCACCTGGCCCTAACCCTCAACAGCCTGCACCACGGGCACCGTGCTTTCCTTGTAACGCTTAGGCTCCCAAGCAAAGGTGGGCGGATGCCTCCTTTTGATTCTGTCGGGAAGATCCACCCCGAAGCATGGGTGCCGGGTGCCAGCTCACGGCGCTGCTCCAGTCTGGCTGAGAGCCGTCCTGAGTCGCGCAGGCTCCTGGGCGTGCTTCTTACTGTCTGAGTCCCAGAGGGGCTGGCATTCAGAGAAGGACAGTGGCTTCTGTTGACCACCGGAGGGCGTTTGTTTAAACACGCGCGTGAGGAGGTCAGCAGCCGGTGCCCTGGCTGTACAGGCCCGGGGCAGCTCGTGGGTCAGAGTGGTGTCCACTCACGGGTCAAGGCCGTGTGGGGAAAGCCAGGGCCTGTGGGAGGCTCGGGCCTGCGGTGGCAGGGCCTGGCTGGCACATGGTAGCACTGCACTGGCTCGATTTCATCGAGGAGCCTCCCCCTCCCTCCCCTCCCTCCCCTCCCCCCCGCACCCCGCACCCCTCCCCCTCCCGTGGCTGAGCAGTCTCGTGCCAGCAGGCCCAGCGGGGGTCCTTCCATTTCCGACCACGTTGTTTTTCTACAGAGAGCTTTTAAAGGGAACAGTGGGGAGTCAGGCCCGGCTCCCAGGTCACCCCAAGGAAGGCCAGGGTGCAGGGCTTCTCCCTCAGGAGGCAGGGGTCAGGGCGGCGTTCGGTCCAGGCCCCGAGGCGGACACCGAGTGACCACGCGTAGGGCTTTTCAGCCAGACTCACTAGACGTGCAAAAGGGAGGTGTGGTTTTAGGTTACAGTTGACACAAGTGGGGACTCAGAGTGCCTCTGTTTGTTTCTTCTAAGTCTGTGTACAAGGGCTCGCCTGGGCAGGAATGAGTGCCTTGGAGAGGGTGCCTCGAGACCCCCAGACCTGCTCCCGCCCGGACAGGGAGGTGCCTGCTGTGCCCTGGCTGCTGGGCCCCGGGAGGCAGTGGCACTCCAACTTGCATGCCTCCTGTGCTCACAGATCCTGCTTGGCCACCCGCCTCCGTATGCTGTGGATGTCACCGCCCAGGCCCCCGCGGGGCCCACTCCTGCCGCCGCCCTCTCTCCGCCCCTGCCGGAAGGGCTGCCCCCTCCTGCCCCCGAGCACCTGCCGCAACTCCCCAGCTCGCAGGCCCCCGTGCCGACGGCTGCGACTCCGAGCTTGCCTGTCCAGTCCGCTGCGCTGCCCCCCGCCAACCTGCCCCTGACCAGTGGGCCTGGGCTCGCCAGCCTCAGTTCAGCCGTCCAGCTGACTGTGGAGTTGGCTCCAGAGGTGTGTGGGGAGGTGGGATGTGCACCCTGGGACACATGGTGCCTGCTCACCGTCCTCTGCTGCCCCCAGATGTCAGTTTCCTTAAGTGCATTCCAGGTGTAAGGTGTGGTTGTTTTTTTACAAATAGATTTTTTTTACAAGCCTCCCTGGTGGTGTGCTTCCTTGTAGGGGTGGCCAGAGTGGGTTAGTGTGCTTGGGAAGGGGAGGGTCCCGGCTCTTAGGGATCGGCTTGGCTCCAACAAGATGAAACCCTCATGCCCGCTGCCCTCCGGGGTCTGCTTGCTACGATCAGAAGGGACCAGGCAGCGGCTGGGCTGGCTGCTGCGCTGGCTGCGGAAGGGATGTGACCCTTCACCCTCGTGTTTATTTCAGGAGCAGGCCTCCCAGGACACGCAGCCTGGCCTCCTGCAGAGCTGTGAGAGGTATGGCCCGCGGCTGTGTCACGGGGACCCGCCTGCCCAGCCCCTCACCAGGCAGGGCTTCTGATGACATCAGTGGGGCCTCCCTGACCTGCTGGGGCCTCTGGGAGCCTCTGGGTCTTGGCCAGCACGTGCTGGAGTTGGGTTGTGCGATGCCCCAGGCTGTGTCCTGGTCCTGGTGCTGGTCTGTGTGAGAGAGTTTCCAGGTGCTGGTGGGGAGGAGACTGGGAGGGCAGGGCCCACACCCCGTCCCCTGTGGCTCCCAGGCATGGGCATGCGGAGTTTGGGAGGGAACTGGTTACCGGAAGTGGCCCTGTGTCCCACCCTCTCGGTAGGTCAGCACCAAGCTCACTGCTCTGCAAGTTCTCATACTTGCAGCAAACCATGTGGTTGGCATGTTTCTGTTGCTTTTGCACAGATAGGGAAACTGAGGCACAGGAGAGGATTGTTTCTGAATTTTGATGTTTACTGTGAGGAGGCAGGGCTTGCTTGATAGGGCAGGAGGCTGAGAGGACCAAGGTCCTAGGTCAGAAAGCCCACGCGTCCCCCGCCACCTCAGTGCTGCCCAGAGCAGCAGGAGGGCTGCGTGCAGGGTTGCCCCGTGGGGCACGGCTGGCTGCAGCCCTCAGGTGGTCTAGCTGAGCACGCAGATGCTGAAGTTCCTGGCTGCTTCCTGAAGAGCTGAGCTTCCCCGGGAGGCCAGTGTGCAGTCGTTTTGTAGGTGAGTAACCCTGGTTTTCCAACAGCTACGGAGGGTCTGACGCCCCTTCTGGAAGGGAGCTGAGTGACAGCGGTGACGGCACCTTCGGAGCGGGGAGGCTGGAAGGCAGGCCGGCCCGGAAACACCACCGCAGGTCCACACGCATGCGGTCCCGCCCGGAGAGGCTCAGCCGGCCCCGGCTGACCATCCTGAATGTGAGGAGGCAGGGGTGATGGGCGGTGGGCGGGAGCTCCCACCTGGCTGCAGGTGTGCAACACCTGGTCTCACCGCCCTGGGTCTGCAGGTGTGCAACACCTGATCTCACTGTCCTGGGTCTGCAGGTGTGCAACACCTGGTCTCACTGTCCAGGACCCGTAGGTGTGCAACACCTTGTCTCACCGCCCTGGGCCCGCAGGTGTGTAACACCTGGTCTCACTGTCCTGGGTCTGCAGGTGTGCAACACCTGGTCTCACTGTCCAGGACCCGTAGGTGTGCAACACCTGGTCTCACCGCCCTGGGTCTGCAGGTGTGCAACACCTGGTCTCACCACCCTGGGCCCGCAGGTGTGCAACACCTGGTCTCACCGCCCTGGGTCTGCAATGTGTGCAACACCTGGTCTCACCGCCCTGGGTCTGCAGGTGTGCAACACCTGGTCTTACCGCCCTGGGTCTGCAGGTGTGCAACACCTGGTCTCACCGCCCTGGGTCTGCAATGTGTGCAACACCTGGTCTCACCGCCCTGGGTCTGCAGGTGTGCAACACCTGGTCTCACTGCCCTGGGTCTGCAGGTGTGCAACACCTGGTCTCACCGCCCTGGGTCTGCAGGTGTGCAACACCTGGTCTCACCGCCCTGGGTCTGCAATGTGTGCAACACCTGGTCACTGTCCAGGACCTGCAGGTGTGCAACACTGGGTCTCACTGTCCTGGACCCGCAGGTGTGCAACACAGGTGACAAGATGGTGGAGTGCCAGCTAGAGACGCACAACCACAAGATGGTGACGTTCAAGTTCGACCTGGATGGGGACGCACCCGATGAGATCGCCACCTATATGGTACGCAGGTGTCTGCCAGGTGATTGCGTCGGTGGCACTGCCCCTGGGTTGGCCAGGCTGCCTCCTCCAGGTCCTTTGGGCACTTGGCTGCCCACTCCCTTGTTGCCAGCCTTCCCTGTCCTGCAGCTTCTGCGGTGGCTGCCGGGTCCAGGTCCCCGCGGGCTGCTGCTCACACCTGGGCTTCTCCTGCTGAACTGTGCAGCCCTGAGCTGGGACCAGGCCACGGCTGCCTCTGCGCACGGGGGTTTAGTGCGGAGCAGAGGCCGAGCAGGTCACTCGGTGGAGATCTGCAGGCCTGCTCTGCCTCGCCACGGGCAGGGCTGTGTGCACCCCCGTGAGTCCCCACAGGCAGGGCTGTGCGCCCCCGTGAGTCCCCACGGGCAGGGCTGCATGTGGCCCCTGTGAGTCCCCATGGGCAGGGCTGCGTGTGCCCCGTGAGTCGCCACGGGCAGGGCTGCATGTGCCCCGTGAGTCCCCACGGGCAGGGCTGTGTGCGCCCCCGTGAGTCCCCACGGGCAGGGCTGTGTGTGCCCCGTGAGTCCCCACGGGCAGGGCTGTGTGTGCCCCGTGAGTTCCCACGGGCAGGGCTGCGTGTGCCCCGTGAGTCCCCACGGGCAGGGCTGCGTGTGCCCCCGTGAGTCCCCACGGGCAGGGCTGTGTGCGCCCCGTGAGTCCCCACGGGCAGGGCTCTCTGTGCCCCGTGAGTCCCCACGGGCAGGGCTGTGTGTGCCCTGTGAGTTCCCACGGGCAGGGCTGCGTGTGCCCCCGTGAGTCCCCACGGGCAGGGCTGCGTGTACCGTTGCAGGTGGAGCACGACTTCATCCTGCAGGCCGAGCGGGAAACGTTCATTGAGCAGATGAAGGATGTCATGGACAAGGCAGAGGACATGCTCAGTGAGGACACGGACGTGGACCGTGGCTCCGACCCGGGGGCAAGCCCACCACCCCTCAGCACCAGCAGCCTGGGTGCCGGAGAGGTGAGCTGGGCGGCTGTCCTGGGAGGGCAGGGCCTGAGTCCCCCACTCCAGGCCTGCGGGCAGCAGCCACCCACCTTCCTGCCGGGAGAGCCTGCAGGGTGCAGCGTGGGGCGAGGTGCCCGCCCAGAGCACGCCGTTAGCACAGGTGGAAGTGCCCGGCTCCGAGGCCACGGGGCTGCGAGGCCCGGGCTCCGCGTGCTCAGTCCGCGGTTTACTGATGGCCGCCTTCACCTCCCTCAGGAGAATCGCCAGTCCCAAGCCAACGCCCCAGTGTATCAGCAGAATGGTATGTGTCTCCTGGGACCCCCAGACTCCTGTCATTGTCCCTTCTTTCTCCAGCGGCGGGTGATTAGAGCCCCACTGAGCATGTTGTGCGGGAGGTTGGCCATCACACTGGGGGTGTTGGACTGTGTGGTGACCTCACCCCCAGCTCCTCCCTGTCGGGCCCAGGTGTTGGCAGGGTGGCATAGATTCCCGCTGTCTGCTGGCCTCGGCTGGCATTGCCCCTTCAGTGATGGTCCCTTCGGCGTCCTGGGAACTAAGCCGGTGGGAGTGCTTGTTGGGGCCCCGGGCTGCCACCGAGGAGCCGCGAATGGCTGCATGCTCCTCAGTGGTGTGAGAGTTCCCCAGAGCGTCTCATGGCAAGTGTGGCCCAGGGGCAAGGGTCCCCGGGAGAAACATGCCTGCTCTCACCAGCTGCTTTTGTCCTGCCCTTTAGTCCTGCACACCGGGAAGAGGTGGTTTATCATCTGTCCGGTGGCCGAACACCCGGCTGCAGAGGCCCCCGAATCTTCGCCCCCACTTCCTCTGAGCTCCGTGCAGCCAGAAGCCAGCCCAGGTAGGACCAGCCGCCAGGCCGCCTGCTGGGGCCAGCGCTTCTCTCCCTGGCACTGCTCTGCACCTGGCTCCACTCGTGCGCGCAGGTCAGCGCCAGTGCTGTGTGCCCCGCTGTCATCCCAAAGCCCAGAGCCGCCTGCGGGCTGTATTCCTCTCCAGAATTTCTACCGAAGGGCAGGACCCAGGCTTGGGCTGCTGGTTACCTTGGCTGTGAGGTGCCGCCAGGGCTGCACAGGTGTGTGCTGGAAGCGCTCCCCCTCGTTCTCTCTTCCAGTGTCATCTTGCAACTCCCAACTCCCTGCTCCATCCCCCAGCGGCCTCTGGCAGGGACGCCCTGCTGGTTGGGGTGGGAAAGCCCCTTGTAGTGTTGAAACTCTGATTTTAAATGGTCACCAAGGAAAAAAAAAATAAAAAAAAATAAATGGTCACCAAGGAAAATGACACTTGGATATTGATCTTTACCTGGTGGGCAAACACCAGCAAGCTCGCCCTTGGGCTGTCAGTTACGTCCTGGTTTTTGTGGTTCCTTGGGAGGCTGAGAAGAATCACTTCAACAGAGTTAAGGTTAATTCCCTATAAGCTGGCAGGAAGAAGTTGCTGATTATATAACTTGACAGTAGTCCTTTTCATCCACATTTCCACTTTCTGTTTTCAGTTACCTGCAGTCATCTGTGGCCCAAAAAACATTAGATGGAAAATCCCAGAAATAACAACCCATAAATTTTATTTACTTATTTTAATTTTTTTAAAAAAATATGTTTTTGTTGATTTCAGAGAGAGGACGGGAGAGGGAGAGAGACATAGAAACATTAATGCTGAGAGAGAAACATTGATCGGCTGCCTCCTGCGCGCCCTCTACTGGGGATCAAACTGTGACCTCCTGGTTCATAGATTGATGCTCAACCACTGAGCCATGCCAGTTGGGCTATTTCTAAATTTTTATTGAATTTATTGGAATAACATTGGTTAATAAAATTATAGGTTTCAAACAATCCTATAATATAGTATCTTGACCCAAAGTCAAGTCTCCTTCCGTCAGCATTCATGCCCCTTTACCTTCTTGTACCTCCCCCTGCGCCCCTGGCCTCTGGTAATCACTTTCCTGTTGTCTGTGTCTGTGAGGTGTCTTTTTGTTTGTTTAATCCCTTCGCCTTTATTCACCCAGCCCCCCAGCTCCCCTCCCCACTGACAGCGGTCAGTCTGTTCTCTATGAGTCTCTTCCTGTTCTGTTTGTTTATTTTGTTCATTAGGTTCCCATACAAGTGAGATCATATGGTACTTGTGTGTCTCTGACTGACTTACTTCACTTAGCCTGATCCTCTCTAGGCCCCCGCATGCCGTTGCCAAAGGTGGTAAGAGTTCCTTCTTTCTGAAGACTGAGTAGTATTCCCTGGTGTAGAGGTACCACACTTCTTTATACACTTACCACCGATGGTACGTGGGCTGCTTCCAGGGCGTGGCTATTGTCAATAACACTGTGATGAATAGGGGTGCGTATCTACTTTCATTAGTGTTTCAGGTTTCTTTGGATATATTACCAATACTGAATCCTGGGTCATAAAGCAGTTCCATTTTAAAGTTTTTGAGGAAACTCCATACTGTTTTCCACAGTGGCTGCACCAGTCTGCATCCCACCAGCAGTGCACGAGGGTTCTCTTTTCCCCACATCCTTGCCAGCACTTGTTTGTTGATTTATTGATGATAGCCATTCTGACAGGTGTGAGGCGATAACTCATTGTGGTTTTAATTTTCATCTATCTGATGATTAATGATGTTGAGCATCTTTTCATGTCTCTTGCTATCTGTATGTATGTCCTCTTTGGAGAAGTGTCTACTCGTGTCCTGGGCTGATTTTTTAATTGGATTGTTTGAGGTTTTTTTGGTGTTGAATTACATAAGTACTCTATAAATTTTGGATATTAACCTTTCATCAGATTTATTATTGACAAATGTGTTATCCATTCAGTGGTTGTCTTCATTTTGTTGCTGGTTTCCTTCACTCTGCAAAAACTTTATTTTTTTAAATGTCACTCTACTTAAAAAAAAAAAATGTTTTTATTGATTTCAGGGAGAGGGAGAAAAAGTTACAAACATCATGATGAGAGAGAATCACCCATCGGTTCCCTCCTGCTGGCCCCCTACTGGGAATCGAGCCTGCAGCTCGGGCATGTGCCCTGACCTGGAATTGAACCCTGTCCTGGTTCATGGGTCGACGCTCAACCACTGAGCCACACTGGCTATGCTGCAAAAACTTTTTAGTTTTATGCAGTACCATTTCTATATTTTTTCTTTTGTTTCCCTTACCCGAGGAGATATATCAGAAAATATATTGCTGTGAGAAATGTCCACGATTTTACTGTTTGTGTTTTCTTCTAGGATTTTTATGATTTCTAATCTTACATTTAGTCTTTAATGCATTTTGAGTTTATTCTTGTGTATGGTGTAAAAAGGTGGTTTAGTTTAATTTTTTTGCATGTGTCTGTCCATTTTTCCCAACACCATTTATTGAAGAGACTGTCTTTACCCTATGGTATGCTCTTGCCTCCTTTGTCAAGTATTAATTGACCATAGCTGTGGGTTTATTTCTGGGCTCTCTATTCTGTTCCATTTATCTATATGCTTATGTTTTATGCCAGTAATTTATTCCCATGTATTTTTGCAATGCAATTGTAAATGCAATGTTTTCTTAGTTTCCCTTTCTGATAGTTTATTACCTGTATATATAAAACCCTAATATGCAAATTAACCGAATGGCAGAACAGCTGAACAACCAGTCGCTATGACATGCGCTGACCACCAGGGGGCGTGCGCAGAACATGGCGGGCATCGGCCGCAGCAGGATGGTGGAGCAGGTGAGCGGGGGTGCCAGACCAAGATGGGGTGCCGGTCACTGTCATCGGGGAGAGCCTCTGGTGATTACTGAAAATTCTTCGTTCTTGTGCGCCACGGTCCCACCAGGTGCTTGCACCTGCTGCCAGCGCCACCCTGCTTGCACCCGCTGCTGGTGCCCAGTGTCAGCCCCGATCGCTCGGCGCTGTCAGAGGGTGTGAGCAGCAGCTGCCGGCCCCAGTCGCCCCTCAGGGCTTCTCCACCTCCCCCTGCTCCTGAGGGCTGGCAGCTGCCTCTTGCACCCGCTGCTGGCCATGGCCCCACTTATACCTGCTGCTTATGCCAGAGCCTGTACTCACACCTGCTGCTGCTGTCCGGCACTGGTCCCAATCACCCGGCGCTGTAACTGGGTGCAAGCAGTGGCTGCTGGCCCCAATCGCCCTTCAGGGCTTCTCCACCTCCCCCTGCTCCTGAAGGGCAATCAAGGCAGCAGCCACTGCTCGCAACTGCTGATGGCACCGGCCCTGCTCGCACCCACTGCTGGTGCGCCAGCCCCAATCGCCAGTGGGTGTGAGTGGGGCCACGCCGTGGGAGTGGTAGCAGCAGGAGTGGGGCTGCCAGCAGATAGGACTGGGGGCCTTGGCAGGAGGGGCTGGGTTGGGGCACAGAGGATGGGCTGAGACCCGCTCTTGTGCCCACCACAGCCTCGCGACCCACAGTTCCTTTCAAGGCACACAAATTCATGCACTGGGCCCCTAGTTGGTGTAATAAAAGGCAACTGATTTCTGAATATAAATTTTGCATTCTACTGCTTTACTGAATTCATGTGTCAGTTCTAGTAGTGTTTGGTAGAGCCTTTAGGGCTCCCTGTATAGTTTCTTGTGTGTCCTCTACAGATAGTGACAGTTTTGTTCCCTCCTTTCCAATTTGGATGCCTTTTATTTCTTCCTCTTGTCTGATCGCTGTGGCTAGGACTTCCAGTGCTCTGTTGAATAAGAGGAGATCCCTGTCTTGTTCACGATCTTAAGGGAAAAGCTTTTAGTTTTTGCCCACTAAATCTGATTTTGGCTGTCGGTTTGTATATATGGCCTTTATCATGCTGAGGTATGATCCATCTATTCCCACTTTGCTAAGAGGTTTTTTTTTGTTTTTTATAAATGGATACTGGATTTTATCAAATGGCTTTTTCTGCATCTATTGATATAATCATGTGGTTTTTATTCTTCAGTTTGTTTATGTGATGTATCACATTTATTTATTTACAAATATGGATGCAAGTACCAACTTTGCATCCTCCAAATAAATCCCACTTGGTCCTGGTGTTTGATATTTTTAATTTATTGCTGGATCCAATTTGCTAATATTTTGTTGAGAATTTTAGCATCTATGTTCATCAGGGATATTGGCCTGTAATTTTCATTCATTGTAGTGTCTTCATCTGGTTTTGGAATTAGGGTAATTCTGGCCTCATAAAATGAGGTTGGGAATCTTCCCTCTTCTTGAATTTTTTTGAATAGTTTGAGAAGGATAGGTGTTCGTTTTTCTTTGAATGTTTGGTAAAATTCACCTGTAAAGCCATCCAGTGAAGTACTTTGTTGGAAGTTTTTTGATTACTGCTTTGATTTCATTATTTGTAATCAGTCTGTTCAGATTTTCTGTTTCTTCTTTTCTTAAAATATATTTTTATTGATTTCAGAGAGGAAGAGAGGGATAGAAACATCGATGATGAGAGAGAATCATTGATTGTCTGCCTCCTGCATGCCCCACACTGGGGGATTGAGCCCGCAACCTGGGCCTGTGCCCTGACCAGGAATCGAACCCTGACCTCCTGGTTTATGGGTTGATGCTCAACCACTGAGTCACCACGGCCGGGCTTCTGCTTCTTCTTAATTCAGTTTTGGAAGATTGTATGTTTCTAGGAATTTATCCATTTCATCCAGATTTTTCAATTTATTGGCGTATAGCTGTTTATAATATTTTCTTACAATCTTGATTTTCTTGTTAGTTGTTACTTCTCTTTCATTTCTGATTTTACTTATTTGGGTCCTCTCTTTCTTTTCCTTGATGAGTCTTGTTAAAAATTTGTCCATTTTATTGTTTCAGAGAGCAGCTTTTGGTTTCATTTTCCTTTGTACTATTTTTTTAGACTCTATTTTATTTATTTCTGCTATTATCTTTATATCTTTCTTCTATTCAGTTTGGGCTTTGTTTCTTCTTTTCATAGTTTATTTAAGTGTAAAGTTAGAGTGTTTACTTGAGATTTTTCTTATTTCTTGAAGTAGGACTGTAATCCTCTGAAGTTCCCTCTCAGAACTGCTTTCGCTGTGTCCCATAGATTTTGGGTTGTTGTGTGTTCATTTTCATTTGTTTCAAGGTATCTTTTGATTTCTTCCTTAATCTCATTGTTAACCCGTTCACTGTTTAGTAACATGTTATTTAGCCTCCATGACTTTGTGTGTCTTTCATTTTTTTTCTTGTGATTAATTTCTAGTTTCTTACCATTATGGCTAGAGAAGATTAGGATTTCAATCTTAAATTTATTGAGACTTGTTTTGTGTCCTAACATGTGGTCTATCCTAGAAAATGTTCCATGGGTACTTGAAAAGAATGTACATTGTGCTGCTTTGGGTTGAGAGGCTCTGAAGATATCAATTAAATCCATCTGGTCTAGTGTGTCCTTTAAGGTAGCCATCTCCTTGTTGATTTTTCTGTCTGGAAGACCTATCCATAGATTGCCATGGGATGTTAAAGTCCTCTACTATAACTGTATTGCGGTTGACTCTCCCTCTATGTCCATCAACATTTGCTTTTATATTTAGGTGCTCCTATGTTGAGTATATTAATGTTCACAAGAGTTATAACCTCTTGTTGGATTGATCCTTTATCATTATGTTGTGTCCTTCCTTGTCTCTTCCTTGTCTAAAGTGTATTTGGTGAGATATAAGTATGGCTACCCTGGCTTTCTTTTCCATTTCCATTTGCATGAAAACTTTTTCCACCCTTTTATTTTTAGTCTGAGTGTCTCTTCCATTCTGAGATGGGTCTCTTTTAGACAGTATATATGGGTCTTGTTTTTTTAATACATTCAGCTACCCTATGTCTTTTGATTAGAGCATTTAAGCCATTTACATTTAAAGTGATTATTTATAAGTACATATTTATTGCCATTTTATTGTTTTAACTACGTTCCTTTTTTCTCCTCCATCTCCTCTTCCTTCTTTCTCTTTTTTCTCCTTCCCCTTCATTCTCTTCTTCCTCATCTTCCTTTTTCCTCCTTTTCCCTTCTTCTTCCACTTCTTTTTCCACTTCCTCTCCTTCTTCCTCCTCTTTCTCTCTCCCTGCAATCCCTTCTGGCCTGAAATGGTTCTGTTCAGGAATCAGCTGGCAGTCTGGGTGAGGGGCTCAGGGCCGTTTGCAGGCTGGCTAAGCCCCCCAGCAGGGACCCTCACCCCATGAGGGTGTGGCCAGCCTGGGTGATGGGCTGATGGCTGTTTACAGGCTGGCCACAGCCCCCAGCCACCCAATCTCCTAGTGGAGGCTGGCTGGAATCAGGTATCTGGGATTTATTTAGCTTCTATAATTGAAACTTTGTTGCCATGAGCGGAGGCCTCAGCTGGCTCAGGGCTGGCGGGAAGCTTGGCTTCCTCCATCGCCCGGGCAACCAAGCCTCCTGCTTGCTCCAGCTCTGTGGCTGCTGGCCGCCATCTTGGTTGGGTTAATTTGCATATAGTTGCTCTGATTGGCTGGTGGGCATGGCTTAGGGCATAGCGAAGGTACAGTCAATTAGCATCTTTGTCTTTTATTAGTGTAGATTTATTTTTTTAGAGCAAGTAGAAGGGAGAGGGAGAGACAGAAAGAAACTGATGTGAGAGAGACACATCAGCTGGTTGCCTCTCACACATGCCCTGACCAGGGCCAGGGATCAAGTCTGCAATTGAGGCACATGTCCTTGACTAGAATCAAATTCAGAACCCTTCAGCCCATGGGCTGATGCTCTATCCACTGAGCCAAACCGGCTAGGGCCAGTATATTGTTTTAATTGTTCTATTTTTATTATGCTGTTGCTTTTCATCTCTTGCTGCACCTAATTATAAATTAAGTTTTAACAAGTATGTTACATATAGGAAAAATCATAGTATATCTAGGGTTTGGTACTGTAAGGCAATTTCAGGCATCTACTGGGGATCTGGCGATGTGTCCCATGCAGTGGAACTACTGTACATTTAAGAAGAATATCTGTTAATCATTTTAAATGTTTTACCGTATGTTTCCAGCGACCCCCATTGTATCTTTGAAGATTTATTCCCAAAGCGAACAGGTCAGCCCACTAAGCCCTAACGAAGCCACAGACAGACCTGGTGAAGGGCCTGGCCCTGCCTGGCAGAGGACCGAGGGGGAAGCAGCGTTGCCTGCAGGGGCTCAGTTTTAAAATAAGAACATGTTCATGTATTACTTTTTCACTTTGCTATAGCCAGTTAATGGGGGAGAAAAACCCTTACAAATAAATGTTAATTTTCAGTATAGTTTAGTGATTAAAAGGACATGCCTGCAGTTAGACTCTAGTCCTTCATCTATGCACCAACCTCAGGAAACCTTCCAGAGCCAGTTTCTTTATCTATAAATGAAAGAAAGAGGAGGTGGCCGCCTCCAGGCATGGCAGATCTATGGATTTGGATTAGCTGTTCACTGAGGATGACCAGACAAGTTGGATGAAATATAAAGTCGCCTGTGAAGGTGTTTGGGAAATCTGCAGACTATGGAGAATGATCAGGCTGGGGTCCAGAGAGGACGGAGACTTGGGATGTGAGCCCAGTATTGGTCTGTTCCCTTGGGGCATTTTCCATTCTCGAGGATGGCTGAGAGGCTGAGCATTGATGCTTCACCAGCCTGGGGTAAGGGGCCCTGAACTCCCGGCCAGGAGGCGGGCCCTGCTGGAGTACTGGGCTGCAGAAGCAAGGGCCGCTGGAACGAGGCCAAGAGAGGGGCTGCTTCCAAGCATGGTGCCCTCATGAAGGTGATTTCA